AAACTAAGAGAAGATGTACTTTTCCCTCTTCTCTGTCACTTCTGCTTCAGTGCGTTTTATTAGATAGCAAAACGACTATGAGAGAGCTAGTGAGAGGGGTCTCACCTGAACGATCTGCCGGGGCTGCACGGACAGCGTGGGGAAGTTTCCTCGGCCGTGGATCGGTACGCTCTCTCCAAGGATGGAGTCCAAACGCCGAACCTGATCCCATGACAGCACGCTCACCCGCCGACTCTGCTCCGAGACATCACCGGAGGACATGACGACCGGAGGCAACGGGACGTCCAGAGAAAGTGTTGTTGCACTGTTAGAACAACTTGAAGCAATTCTCCTCACACGAGGAAGAGCCGGTGATGTTAGGGCGACAGTGGGTGTGAAAAGCTCCCAGTGCGTCTTCCTCTCTCACTCTCTGTCTGTTCTTGTGGAAAAACTTTCAGAAAGCTCCAAAATGTGTTAACTCTTTTAGAACGTCGCACATTCCCAGAACAAAACTTCCTGCGCCTGCGTCGCTCTCTGTCTCCACTGACTGTCTGTGCACATTAGAGCCTCCTCTGGACTCGCCTGGGGTTTTAACCGAGCAGGGATTAACGGGCGCCACCCCATTGGCTGGCCAGAGCCTTAATAATGCTTCAGCATACAGACTGCACTCCGTTTGGGCACAGACCCACACACACCTACTTCCTTTGCGTCACATGGCATGTTCAATGACTGTAGGAAGTATAGTAATTACTGTGTGCAAGTAAAAAAAACATCACAACCTTGAACTGCTCACGTCAGGCTTCAAGACTTTACCCAAACTGCATACAGTACCTCATCTCACACTGGTCTGTTTAATAGGAAGGAGAAAAGACAAAGGAAGTTTACTTCAAATGCATTTTGCAAAAATAAAAAGCAAAAATAAATATATGCGCAACTAAAATTTATGGAAACAAATCATAATATTATCATATTCAAATTCAGTGTTTTTAATGGAGTAAGCTGAAAGTTCATTGTAAAAAAAAAATAACAGATTTCCTTTTTGATTTGATACTGTGAAGCTTAAACAATTAAAAACAGTAACATTAGCAATCATAACATGCTTCTATAAAGCCAAAGTCCTAAGTTATTTTCAAAAGAAAAGAAAAGGAAACTTCTTGAGCCGGTGTTAAAAGATGAACAAATGCTTCACATCACAACATTGTCTGGCCTTTTCCTCTAGGACTATTTTCTGAATATCCCGCTGTTAGCAGACTAGCATCATTTATCCCTCATGCGATTGTATGGTAAACAGTGGGATTAAAGTTTGGTTGGGTTTAGATACAATGACAGAATGACAGAATTGCATTTCAGGAAAGATAATAAATTTTTTGTTAAAATAACTACTTTGCTAAAGTTAGAGAAACATTGTTACACAGTTATAAAGCCATTGTAATACCTTAAATAGCAACGGCAATGATCTCTTAAATGATAGCCAAACGTTTTGGAGGTCCATGCATCTACCCCAAACTATTTTCTTTGTATTATTGCCTTCCTTCTTTTCTTTCAGACATCTAGAAAACAAAGAAAAATTGACATTCAAAACTTCTAAAACATGTATTCTATATTGATTCCAAGTATATGCACACATTTTCATGGCAATCTGTCTGAAAGTTAAGCTAATAGCATTTCATCTTAAAATGCTCCCCCAAGTCATCCTTGTCAAAGAAGAGATCAGAGCCCCTTCGCTCACCCTCCTTTGTTTCCGGACAGAAACTTATCATCTGTTTTGTTTTTATTTTCTGTAATTGGTGTTGCAAGAAGGTGTTGCTTTTAACTGGAACCACTACATTAGAATTCAGAATTAGAAGAAATGTGAAAAGAGTTTTGCTCAGTGGAACACATGACCATTTTTCACTCCACGCTCAAAGGAAAATGACCTAATTCGTTTTGGCGATACCATTATGTACAACATAAGGTCACGATGAAGAGTCACACATTTCTGGATGTTTAGGTTGACCAACATACCCGTGTTAGAGAGATTATTCATTTTTGACCCCTGTGGGATGACGCAAAGGGATTTGTGACCTTAATTTGCTTTGTCGTTGTTTCATTTTCTTAAGAGCAATTTGTGTGTCTCCTACCATGACAGAAAAAACACAGGGAAGCCCCAGTGTCATTTTAAAGCAGAATGACAACATGGAAAAATATTGCCATGATTTACATATCATGTGCATAATGTAAATACTGTACGTCAGTCTGCATTGACTCAACCGGCAATAGCAAATACCACACACTGCACTGTTATCACCAGCTCTACAAAAAGTGTTGAATATAGTTCCTATTTATTTGTTTATATTTAAACACGAGCTGCTGATACCTAAAGTACAACTCATTTTCTAGCCTTTTATGGGTCCATAGATTATTCACGTAATGTATGGACCATTTGCAGTTTGAAATAATATAATTAATTTGAATCGTATTTCTTTATTTTTTCTTTGCTTATTTCAAGTGGCCTCAAATGAACAGCCAATTGTGTGTGACATTAATGGTGACGTCACAATAGCTAAATCTGTGTTTTAAATGCAGTACATGTAAACAACTCAAAATTTAGTTGGTTATTTCCCAGTATTAGTTGTATTGTATTGTATTGATATGAAACCACAAAGGAAGTCTTAATGAGAATGTCCTTTAAGTTACAGAAGCTAGTGGAAGCCAGTTGACTTGACAGGATCTTCATGAAAAAGATGTATAGTGCTGTGCAAACGTCTTGAGTCAATCCCGATTCCTTCTAATGGGAAGTGGGTGCAAAGATTTATTGAAATGCACAAACATGCAAGCTTTATTTTCAAGTCAATATTTGGTTTGACTACTTTTTTGGATGTTTGCCACCTTTTGTTCCACTCTATATCAAGATAGTCACACTCGTCTTCAATAAGTTTTGAGGTTCGGGCTCTGGGGACGACAATCCATGACTGAAGTCTTCAATTGTGTATTTTTATATCCAGGCATGCTTTTACTGCATTGGCAGTAGCTAGGAATCATTTTCATGTTGTGAAATGAAACACCTACCAATCAGACACTTGCATGTGCTTGCTTGTGGTATTGCATGCTGGATCAAAATATGACAGCACTTTTCTGTGTTCATAATTCTATCTATTTTGACAATATCCTTAATATCACTGCCTGAAATGTAGCCTCGAACCATGAAAGAGCCTCCATCATGTACACACTGTTGTATTTCTCTCCTAAACTGCTCTGAACGTATGTTTGAAGAGTTGAAACAAATATTTCAAATTTGGATTCATTACTGTATAAGACCTGTTACTACTGATTTTCAGTCCAACTCTTGTGTAATTTGGGTCACCTCAGCCTTTTCTCTTTTTTTCCCTTCTTGAACAATGGCTTATGATGACAGTTCAGTTAAAATCTTAAACACAAATCCCAAAAGTAAAACTACATTCACAAAAGGCCAGATTTTTCTTTCAAAATCAAACCATCACCTCAAATTCAGTTGTTGTGTGGTGTGTTCAGATCATACACACTGCAAGTAAAAATATATTTACCACAGACCATTGATTAGACACTGCATCAAACAATTTAAGATAGAGCGCCATGGAATCCAGTTCAAACACTAAGATAGATATAAAGTAATTTAGTACAAGTGATACAGAAAGACAGATTTACGAAATTGAGTATTTTCATTATATGCACTCCAAGTTACATATGTATTTACATTACAATATAGTTTACAGTACTGTAAAAGTAGCAACTGCGGCTACTACCCTAATCTAACAGGAGGAATATGAGTATCGAATTTTTGCTGAAAGTGTGTGTAGGTTACACTTACTTGCACATACTGATATTGTAGATCTTTGACTCTTGCAGAGTTGAGCTGCCAGCTGCCAGTTATTACAGTTTTGCAACACAAGTGTCAAGTCAAGTCATCTTTATTTATATAGCACATCAAGTGTCGGCCAAAGTGCTGAACAGAGGGATAATATAATCAAATAGAAATAATTAACATAGATAAGATGAAAACATTATAGAAAATTTTGTGAGACATCCATATATGTTTGTAAAAATATATGTGTACATGCAAATATGCACATACATATACAAAAGTGTGCACATGCACACACAAGCACAAGCATACGTGAACATAAAATACGTGTATACGTGTATACGTGTATACACATGCAAACATCATCCAAATGAGATAAAAGACCAGAATAGCCAAAACAAAATAAAAGTGGTGTCAGAGAGATCCGAAAGCCTTTGAAAATAGGTAGGTCTTCAGATTTGATTTGAAGATTTCCAAAGACAAAGAGGATTTTATAAAAGAGGGAAGACTGTTCCAGAGTCTCGGAGCGGCAATGGAGAAAGCCCTGCAAACTGTAAACACTGCTATAGTTACACCCTCTTGCACACGCTCTACAGTAAAATAACAAATGACGAAATAATGACGTTCACAGGTTAGAGTTAAATGTCAATCATATATATATCACCTCTGTAATGTTCTTGATATATATAATTGAGTGATTTGTATATATTAGTGCTGTTTCTTAAGTTTGTAAAGTTTGTAATATATTGTATTAATTAATTGGTTTAGTTTGTTACTGTTACTGTCTTGGAGCAACTGTAACCCACATAATTTCCTTAGGGACTATTAAAGTGTTCTGATTCTGATTCTGATAATGAACACAAAGGTTCTGAGCAGCAGGTAATCAAAGGGCACATACATCACTGGCTTTAATAGGTTAATAGAGGAATATTGGCCAAGGTCAGGATGGACTGAAGACAGGGAGACAACGAGGTTAATGCATGGAAGCAAAACATAAAGAAAGAAACACAGCCAATTTATCAGTATATCAGTAGTAGTAGGTAGCAGACAATCTGGCAAAGAGTGAAGGCTCGAGCAGGTCCTTAAATATTTAATTAAATTTACATAGCACGAAATCACTACAGTTGCCTCACAAAACTTTATATTGTAAGATAAAGACTATACAATAATACGAAGAAATAGTGGGTCTTGATTGCGAGCTGATGATGGTGTCATGGGTCTACCCCAGTAGGACATGACTGGAATACCTCAACCACGAATGCCCCAGTAAGTGTCATCCTAGTTAGATTCCTTGAACACCTCAACCACATTTTTTTCTATTTGAAAGAGTAGCAGCTCAACTCTGAGGACCTTTAAAATCATTAATCTCCTTGCTCTATCTCTCTATCTCTCTATAAGGGAGATGCCAGCCACACCTTGGAGAAAAATAATTTCTGCCAATTGTACCTGCAGTCTCATTCTTTCACCCGTGACCATAGGAGAGGTTAGGAATGTAGATAGACCGGTAAATCAACACCTTTGCTTTTACATTCAGCTCTCTCTTTACCACATCAGACCAGTACATTAGAGTACTGAATCAAAGCCAATACAGGCCCAGTCTGTCAATCTCCAGCTGTCAATGATTTAACAGTGAGTCAGATACTGGTGCATCTCCAACAGGAAGGGGGGGTCCCCCCAAGGGACACTGTCAAATCCCTTCTCCAAGTCCACAAAACACA